CTTCTGGGGGCTCCTGATGGTCCTTGGCTGGGGGCTGCACAGCTCCAGTCTCTACCTCCATCTGCACATGGCCTCCTTTGTCTCCGGATCTGTAATCTCTCTCTGCCTGGTTCTTATAACAACAGCTGTCATTGGATTTAGGGCCCACCCAGGCAATCCAGGATGATCTCATCTCAAGATCCTTAGATTAATGATGTTTACAAGGACCCCTTCTCTACAGAAGGTCACATTCAGGTACCAGGAATCAGCAGTTAGAATGTCTTTTGAGAGGACACTATTCAACCCACTAAAGGAAGGAGACAGGTTTCAGCCTACAATGTCACCTGTTCTTCAGTGGGGACAGGGGTGTGGTGGTTGCTGCTCCTGCAACAACCCTGGAACAGGACAGGCCTTGAGCACACAAGTGGCAGGGCCAAGGCTAGGTAGCTGGTCATCCTGGAATTAGGAAAAGGAATCGGGAAAGAGAGCCAGCCTGCTGGTTCCCAGGGCAGTGAGTGAGCACAGCACTGGGCTGGGCAGGCAGAATCAGTGGTTCCTGAGATTCAGGGAGGTTGGAAAAGACACTAATTCTAAAGGGCTGAGGCTATGTTGCTAGGATATCCTAAGATCACATTCCTGGGCTACTCAAGTATCCCAAGAAGGCAGAAATTGTGTTAATCGCTTCTGCTGCAGCCAGGCTACCAAGTCTTAGAAAGGACTAACCTCCTTTGACTCCAGAGCCCAGAGCTGGGCTTCCTTCTGACTCCTTATCAGCTGAGCCTGTGGTCACAGTGCCATTTGCAGCAGGTGTCACTCCACCAGTGCCCAGGCAGGAAAGGTGGCCATGCAGGAGTGCCCTGGCTGCTGGGATGGGAGCAAGGTGGGGAGCTGGCTGCTCTCCTTCTTCATTGGCTCAAGGTGGAGGTCAGAGATGCAGCGCGACACACAATTCTAGGCTTCAGTTATTCAACAAACACTTTAACTGCTCCCAACAAGCAAGGTCGGCAATAAGACATGGGCGAGAAAATGCCTTGGAGACCTGGAAGTCCCAGTAGGGCCCAGGGAAGGTGACAGAGTCTCTTGAAGATTCTAGAAGACGCAGCAGGATTGTGTGAGACTAAATCAGTGGGCTCTGCAGTGGGACTTCCTGGCTTCAAACCCCAGCTTCACAGCTTGCTGTGCAACCTGGGCTAGTTACTTAACCTCTCTCAACCTTAGCTCTCTTCTCTAGAAACTGAGAATCAAAATAAAAACTACTTCATGTGATTGTTATGAGAACTAAATCAAACAAGCCAAAGAAAGCACTTAGCACAGTACCTGGTCTGTAGTAAATATTCAACTAATGCCAGCCATTATAAGCCATTATAAGCCATAAACTTCAGAGAAAGAAGAACAAAGTAGGAGGGATCACAATATCTGATACTAAACTGTATTACAAGGCCACTGTAATCAAAACAGCCTGGTACTGGCATAAAAACAGGCACATAGACCAATGGAACAGAACAGAGAGCCCAGAAACAAACCCAAGTCTCTATGGGCAATTAATATTTGACAAAGGGGGCAGTAACATAAAATGGACTAAAAGTAGCCTCTTCAACAAATGGTGTTGGGAGAACTGGACAGCTACATGCAAAAAAAAAAATGAAACTTGAGCACCAACTTACACCATACACAAAAATAAATTCAAGGTGGATAAAAGACTTAAATATAAGCTGTGACACCATTAAAGTCCTAGAGGAGAATATTGGCAGGAAAATCTCAGATATTTCACGCAGCAACATTTTTACTGATATGTCCCCTAGAGCAAGGACGATAAAGGAAAGAATAAACAAATGGGATCTCATCAAAATAAAAGCTTCTGCACAGCTAAAGAAAAGAGTATTAAAATAAAAAGAAGCCCTGGCTGGTATAGCTCAATGGATTGAGCATGGGCCTGTGAACCAAAAGATGGCTGTTTGATTCCCCGTCAGGGCACATGCCTGGGTTGCAGGCCAGTTCCCAGCAGAGGCCCGTTCCCAACAGGGGATGCATGAGAGACAACCATACACTGATATTTCTCTCCTTCTCTCCTTCCCTTCCCTTCCCTTCTAAAGATAAATAAATAAAATTAAAAAAAAAACATTTAGTGCTCCCTTCGGCAGTATATATACTAAAATTGGAACGATACAGGGAAGATTAGCACGGCCCCTGCGCAAGGATGACACGCAAATTTGTGAAGCGTTCCACATTTTTATTAATATTCGACAAAGGGGGCAGTAACATAAAATGGAGTAAAGATAGCCTCTTCAACAAATGGTGTTGGGAGAACCGGACAGCTACGTGCAAAAAAATGAAACTTGAGCACCAACTTACACCATACACCAAAATAAATTCAAGGCAGATAAAAGACTTAAATATAAGCCGTGACACCATTAAAGTCCTAGAGGAGAACATTGGCAGGAAAAATCTCAGATATTTCACATAGGAACATTTTTACTGATATGTCCCCTAGAGCAAGGGACATAAAGGAAAGAATAATAAACAAATAGGATCTCATCAAAATAAAAAGCTTCTGCGTGGCTAAAGAAAACAGTATTAAATTAAAAAGACAACCAACTGTATGGGAAAACATATTTGCCAATGATACCTCAAACAAAGGTTTAATCTCCAAAATATACAAAGAACTTACACGACTCCACTCTAAGAAGACACCCAACCCAATTAAAAAATGGGAAAAGGACTTGAACAAACACTTCTCCAAGGAGGACATACAGAACATTCAGAGACACATGAAGAGATGCTCAATATCGTTAGCTATCAGAGAGATGCAAATTAAAACCACAATGAGATACCACTTTACACCTGTCAGGATGGCTATCATAAACAAAGCAACAAACAACAAATGTTGGAGAGGTTGTGGGGAAAAGGGGTCCTTAGTTCACTGTTGGTGGGAGTGCAGACTGGTACAACCATTATGGAAAACAGTATGGAATTTTCTCAGAAAAATAAAAATCGACCTGCCTTTTGACCCAGCAATTCCACTGCTGGGATTCTATCCTAAGAGTCCTAAAACATCAATATCAAAGAACCTGTGCACCACAATGTTCATAGCAGCACAATTTACAATAGCCAAGAGTTGGAAGCAACCTAGGTGCCCATCAGTAAATGAATGGATCCAAAAATTGTGGTACATATACACAATGGAATTCTATGCTGCAGAGAGAAAGAAGGAACTACTACCATTTGCAACAACATGGATGGAACTGGAAAGCATTATGCTGAGTGAAATAGGCCAGGTGCTGAAAGACAAATACCATATGATCTCACCTTTAACAGGAAGCTATACAACAAAACAAACAAGCAAGCAGAAAAAAAAAAAACAAAGACACTGAAATAGAGAACAAGGGGATAGTGACCAGAGGGGAGAAGGAAGGGAAGTTAAGGGGAAAAAGGGGGAGGGATTTGGAGGAACAAATAGGAAGGACACAGGGACGAGAACTAAGGGGGGTGGAAATGGGAGGGAGGTGGGGAGCAGGGGGCGGGGGAGGCTGGGATGGGAAAAATGGACAAAAAACTGTACTTGAAAAATAACTAAATAAAATTTAAAAAAAAGAAAAAGAAAAAATCAAGCCATAAATAAATACAAAAAAAAAAAGAATATCCAGAGACACATGAAGAGATGCTCAATATCGTTAGCTATCAGAGAGATGCAAATTAAAACCACAATGAGATACCACTTCACAACTGGTCAGAATGGCCATCATAAACAAAGCAACAAACAAGTGTTGGCGAGGTTGTAGGGAAAAGGAGACCCTAGTTCACTGTTGGTGGGATTGCAGACTGGTACAACCACTATAGAAAATAGTATGGAATTTTCTAAGAAAACTAAAAATGAATCTGCCTTTTGACCCAGCAATTCCACTGCTAGGATTATATCCTAAGAACCCTGAAACACCAATCCAAAAGAACGTATGTACCCCAATGTTCATAGCAGCACAATTTACAATAGCCAAGAGTTGGACACAACCTAAGTGCCCAGCAGTAAATGAATGGATCAAAAAACTATGGTACATTTACACAATGGAATTCTATGCAGCAGAAAGAAAGAAGGAGCTCCTACCCTTTGCAACATCATGGATGGAACTGGAAAACATTATGCTGAGTGAAATAAGCCAGGCGGTGAAAGACAATTACCATATGATCTCACCTTTAACAGGAACCTAATCAACAAACAAGCAAGCAAAACATAACCAAAGACACTGAAATAGAGAACAGGCGGACAGTGACCAGAGGGGAGAGGGGAGGGAATTTCAGAGGAAAAGGGGAAGATTTACAGGAACAAGTATAAAGGACACATGCACAAAAACTAAGGGGGGGGTGGAAATGGGAGGGTGGTGGGGAGCACTGGGGCAGGGGCTGGGATGGGAGTAAAAAACAGAAAACTGTACTTGAACAATAATTAAATTTTTTTTAAAAAGCCATCGACTTCAGAGGTGAACCTTGACAGACAGTGTGAAGTTCGATTTTATGTGTCAACTTGCCCAGACTGTTACTCAGTTGTTTGGTCAAGAAGCATCGGTCTGGATGTTGCTATGAATGTGTTTTGAGATGTGGTTAACATTTAAGTCAACTTGAGGAAAACACACTACCCTCCACAATGTGGTGAGCTTTATCCAGTTAGTCCAAGAGAAGACACTGAGGTTCCACCAGGAGGAAGGGGTTCTGCCTTCGACGGCCTTCAGACTTGAGTGCCACCACATCGACTCTTGCTGAAATTTCCAGTCTGCCAGCTTCTCCTGTGGATTTCAGACTTTCCAGGCCCCACAGCCTCTCTCTATAAATATACATCTTATTGGTTCTGTTTCTCAGGAGAATCTTGACTAACACAACAATAGTGAGACTTCCAATCCATGTTCCTGGCTCGGAAGAGGGGTCAATGTGAGGGGATGAGGCAACACTTGTTATGGAGAGAAAAGGAAGTAGAACAAATGAAACATACACTTGGTGCCAGGTACTTTACATGTGACAAGAGGTGAGCACATGTGCTCACTTCACTAGCACATACACTAAAATCAAAATGATACAAAGATTAGCATGGGTCTGCACAAGGATGGCATGCAAATCTGTGACACATTCCATATTTTTTAGAAGGAGGTAAAAGGGAGATAAATGTGACGGAAGGAGATTTGACTTTGGGTGGTAAACATACAATACAATATACAGAAGATATATTAATATAGAACTGTGCATTTAAAACCTATATAGATTTAGTGACCAATGTCACCCCAATAAATTTAATTAAAATTTTTTAAAAGAGGGGGGGAAATGACATTTCACGAAGAGACGACTGAGGTTCAGAGAGCTTAAGTGACCTATTCAACATCACCAACAAGGAAAGGAGTTGTCTACATCAGGACCCAAATCTGAATCACGTATCCATGACTTTTCCCATCAGTCCAGGTGAATGCTGTCAGAGGACGAGAAGGACCAGCACATCAGGGAAAGGGGGGGAGGGCTGTATGGGAGGCACAGGGACAGAGAAAGGGCACAGGCTGAAGGGTCAGAGAAAACCACAGAACCCAACCCAGTCAGGACAGGAAATGTGAGCCCAGCACTGTTTAAAAGGTTAACTGCATTTTATTGAAAGATATCTTTTGGATGCAGCTTCTCTTCTTCCTTGGATCTCCAACCTTCCACCTGCCCTGCAGATTTCAGACTTGCCAGTCCCATGACTATGTGTGTCACTTCCTTAAAATAAACCTGTCTGTAAATAGATGCTAGATAGATATAGATAAAAAGATTGATAGATCTAGGTCTATCTATGCATCTATCCATCTACTATATACACATCCTAGCTGTCCTGTTGCTCTGGAGAACTCTAACACAAAGGGGGCATTAGACTGTGGCCAGGAACCACAAGGACAAACATCCCAAACAGAGGCCCCGGGGGTAGGTTGTACTGGGGAGGTGGAGCAGGCCAGCTGGGCTGCAGTGCAGAGAGAATATGAGGCAATTAAGCAGGTCAAGCAACTTGAGTTATGTGGAGAAGAGACTCAGAGGCTTTGGAAGAGTCAGGAGGCAAAGTGGGGGTGCCTGGAGCTGCCCTTGCAGAAGAGGCACTGCATGAAGCACACTGACAGACTCCCACCATTGTATTTACTGCCAAAGGCCAAACCAGGCTCATTGCAGACCTGTGTTTGAGATGAAGAAGAAACCTACCTCTCTTATGGGACCAGTGACGTTACATACAAATGTGGACACGTAGCTCAGTTACAAGGCAGAAACACTTGAAAAGGTGTAGAGGGTGAGCAGAAGGAGCTGGGTCAGCTGAGGCTCTCTTGTGGAGTATGGGCATGGCCTCCCTACACAGGGATCTGGAATGTGTGGTACTGCAAAGTGGATTGCTGGTGCATTTCTGAGTCTCAGGCGATTCTGAATGCAGGGGCTATCAGGAAAGAACATTCTGCAGACAGAGGCTCTGAAAGACAGGTATGTGGGAGCTGGTTTTACCCTGGAGCCCTGCTCACAGCCTGGTGCCAAATGATATCATCCCCACCAGAATCTCTAAAAGCTGACCTTGGTTAGTAAGTAACCCTGAGAAGACTTCCTTTGCCAGTTCAGGAAAGAAAATGGCCCAGACTTGATTCCTGGTGGCAAGGTGGAGTCATTTAGTTCCAGGCGCTTCTCTCTTCTTTATTAACAGGCTTCCTGCTGGGAACAGAAGTTATACCTGCCCTTCTTAATTGCTAATTGCTATAAAATCATATATCTGCACCCTTTATTTCTTTCGATGATGTAGACACCAAAATAGAACACAGAGCAGAAGTCAATAACCTTGATGTTTTAGAATGTCAGAGCCAGCATTCCATTTCTAGCAACATGGAAGCCCAGCTTTCCTGAAAAATCCCCCTGCTCTAAAACACCTAAAAAGAAAAAAAATACTCTAGTAAAACATATAAAACAAAATTTAGCATTTTGACCATTCTTAAGTGTATAGTGTTTGATGGTATTTAAGTACACTCATATTGTTGTGCAACCATCACCACCATCCAACTCCAGAACTTTTTCATCTTTCTAAACTGCAACTCCGTGTCCATTCAACAGTAACTCCCAATTTCCTCCTTGCCCCCAATCCTTGGCAGTCTCTATTCTACTTTCTGTCTCTGTTGACTTTGACCATTCTAGGTACCTCATATAAGAGGAACCATACAATATTTATCCTTCTCTCTGGTTTAATTCACTTAACATAATGTCTTCAAGGTACATCCATGTTTTAGAATGTCTCGGAATTTCTTTTTAAGGTGGAATAATATTCCATTGTATGGGTAGACCACATTCATTTGTCAATGGACATCAGGTAGTTTCAACTTTTCAGCTATTGTGAATAAGATTGTTATGAACATCACTAGTGTACAAATATTTGTATTGAGCCTGATTTTTCTTGGCTTAGTTTTAGTGATTTTTTTTTAGAAATTTATTTTTTTCTGACTGTGAAAATTATTGCTATAAGTTTTCTCAAAGTCTCTTATTATCTTTGTAATTTTTTGCTGTATTTATGGTTATGTCCCCTTTTTAAATCTTCATATTTTTGTGTCTATTTTCACTCTCTCCCTCTCTCTTCTTTTAGAGAATAAAGTTTTTATTCACTTTCCAAAAGAGGAGAGGGGCATGGTATGAAGAGATATACCATCTTTCTCTCTCTCTCTCTTTTTTTTTTTAGAGCATCTGATCAGAGATTTACCAACTGCATTACTCTCTCAAACAGCTAACGATATTAGCTAGAATTGCATTCAGCTGTGGATTGGGAAAAACCTCCAAATAACAGTACTTTAACAAAATTCTTTTTCTTATTGTAAAATATCCAGGGCTCCATCCAGGTTTACCCTGGCAATCCATGGTGTTTGACAGCCAAGCTCCTTTGATCTTGTTGTTCTTTCATTATCCAGGGAAGGAAAAGTCACTCTCCAATATCCAAAGGTCACCTTTTGGTTGAAGATAATTTCTGGAGCTCCAGCCAGAATTCCAGGTGGGAAGAAGGAAGAGAGAGAGAAAAAAGACTTATCTCCTCTCTTTATATCTCCTGATATTGCACACACCACTTCTGCTCATGCCATATTGGCCAGAACACAATCATATAACCAATCAACTTGCAAAAGAGTCAAGAAAATGTTGGGATTTTTTGTTTTCTCTTCTCCAAACCTTCATGCTGTTGCTGTCCTGCTTTTTACATCTAGCTATGTTATAAACTCCACAATACCAGGCTTATTTTGCTTTTAAACAGTCAATTACATTTTTAAAAATTAATAAGAAAAATTATTTTTTGTTTCCATTTCCAGAGGTCTTCATTCCTATGTATACATCCAAGTTTCCATCTGGTGTCATTTTCCTTCTGCCTGAAGAACATTCTTTATCTATTATTTCTTTACAGTGCATATCTGCAAGAAACAAATTCTCCCACCTTTAGTGTATTTGAAAATGCTTGGGGTTTTTTCTTGAAGAATATCTTCACTAGATATTGAAGTGTAGACTGACTTTTTTTTCTTTAGCCTTTAAAGATGTTCTGATGTCTTCTAACTTATTTTGTTTCTGACAAGAAATCTGTAGTAATTCTAACCTTTGTTCTTCTATATTTAATGTATCTTTTCCTCTGAAATTTAAATGATTTTTTCATTATCACTGGTTTTTAGCAATTTGGTGATATGTGCCTGCATTTGGTTTTCTTTGTTTATTCTGCTTGAAATTCTTTGAGTGTCTTGGATATCTGGGTTTATAGTTTTCATCAAATTTGAAAGAACTTTGGCCAGTATCTCCTCAAATATATTTCTTTCCTTACCCTCCTTCTGAGATTTTAATCATACAATTACACATACACATAGTTACACATACTGCTTACTACTTTCGCACAGGTCAGAGAGGATACTGAATTGCCCAGTATCGGAGAGGGAGCTGGGAAGGAGGGGCAGCTTTCTCCCAGACAGAAATGCTGGCAGGGGCCATTGTTCCTTCGATGAGTGCTCTCCCCACAAAGCCAGCAGGTGGGTGCCATGTCTGAGACTCCATCAACCTGGGTCACACTGTTTGTTCTGCCCTGGTGATTCCCTGGGCAGGGAATCATTCCTGTGAGCCCTGCCCCACCCAACTTTCAGGCCAACCCAATATTTCTAGTGGCTTTCCCAAACAAATGGCTTATTGTGGCTCATGCTTCAGATTTTCCTAGAATCCCTTAAACAAGCAACATCTGGCTGCAACGTACCCTTAACCTCTTGCTAAGTGACCCCAGGTCCAGCACTAGCAGTGCTTGCCTTGACTCACAGCTTGGCCCAACCGGGGTACCTCCAAGCCCAGCACAAGTAGCAGCAATCAGTAGATCGCTTTGTAGCTCATGCCAGGTGGCCCTAGGCAGAACACAGGTGGTGGCTGACCTTGGTCTGCACCTCTAAGGAGGCCTCGGAGCCAGCTTGCTCAATGGACATCTTCAGATGACACTGAAGCATCCCTATCCAAGCACCTCCACAAGTGACATGTTCAAGGGGTAGACTCAGTAGCACTGAGTGCCACTGAGGTAAGTCCTGCTCTGTGGGGTGGGCCCCTCACAGCTGATCCTCAACAGTGGTCAGAGGAGAGTTGTGCATCCAATCTTGCAGCTGATCAGTCTGGAAGTAAATTCTTCCCATTAACGCTACAATAGCAATCGACTACAACAGACGGATGTAAATAGCTCAGATGAAGTGGGGAACACCTCAAGTACCCATCTTGGGTAATCAGGGAGGCTGTGGCACTGGATCCTACAGAACCCCTACAACATTAGGCTACACTACCAAGCCTGAGAGACATGGCAGGCCCACCTAATACAATACACAGAAATAAAACAGGGAGGCTGCCAAAATGAGGAGACAAAGAAGTGTGTCGCAAATGAAAGAATACAACAAAACTCCAGAAAACAGCCAAACAAAATGGAGACAAGCAAGCTACTAGATGCAGAGTTCAAAACACTGGTTATAAGGATGCTCAATGAACTTAGGGGAAAAATCAACAACATAAAAAAAGACCCATCAGAAACTAAGGATCCACTAACTGAGAATAATTTACAGAGACTCAATAACAGAGTATGTGAAGCTGAGAAACAAATCAGTGATTTGGAATAT